TATTATAAAGTAATTAATTTATTCTTTTGTTTTTTATTTTTTGTTAATTCTTTTTTATAAATATTTTATTTGAAATATTAAATAGAAATTATTAATGGAATAATTTATATTAATATACTGTATTATATTAATATAATATACTAATATATTATATTATTAATGTACATTAGTCGACATCCTGTTGACATAATAGGAAAATTGGTCGTTTTTTTGGTTATTTGGACTGATTTGGTCGACGCTTCCGAAATATAGGAAATGTCCACTGAAATAATGTAATTTTTATATTACCATCCATTTTCATGTCGGTGAGCCTCGACATCGACATATGTCAGGCGACATTAGCGAAATGTCGCRACATTTGAAACCATGGAAAAAAGAATAACTCCATAATAAAGGAGATAAATGAATGGGATTTTAATTAACTTCACTTGATATTTTCTATTATATGATGCTAAAAATAAATTTAATGGAAGGGAAAATTCAGAAACTTTTTTATTTATATATAATTCTCAATCAAATCTAGAATAAATTGTAATGGAACAAAAGAAGTGCAGACACTGAGCTGTTAGCAGTGTTAAAAGGCCTTCAACTTGCTGCTGAGATAATTTGGTGATTGAACGGGACTCTGAAGTAGTCATTTCTTTGCTAAATTCTGGAAAGGATGTTCCTTGGGTACTTAGATGCTTGATCCGTGAGGTTTTCTCCTTCGGAAGACTGATGAACTGCTCGTTCAATTGAGTTGCAAGAAGTGCAAATGAAGCTGTATTATAGATTTGCCAAACCAGGAGCTTCAAGATCTGAATTGATTTGGGGTTGTCTGGGTCCAGGTTCTTTGTTGTAATAAGGTCATAGAACTCATAATGTGATTACTGATCTGCTTAGGCTGTTGTATCAATTTCTTTTTGACCCCTGGGGTCATTTCTTTATTTATTTGGAATGGAATTTAATTCTGCATAAATGCTCATCATGCTTAGACTGTCTAAATTTTCCTTTATTTTGGACTTGACTAAACTCTTGTTAAAATGTCAATTTGATGATTTTCAGATTGTACAAAAGGTAGATAAACTACTCCAGCTGTAACTTTTTCCTGATAAAACGTTTCCACTTCAATATGATAACTTTTGTCCTACCATTTAAAGTGACGTGCATTGTCCTATAGGACCATCAAAAACTGCTCCTAATTCTCTAGAGAGAGTTGTTAGTTTCAAAAAACAGGAACTCCATGTGCCAAATTTGCTATAATAGTCCTGAAACCAAATTGTAGCCCTATATTCAGATTCAATAGTCAACCTTGCAACACAGACTACTTGTTGCTCCTCCATGAGACTAAATTGCCACCAATTGTGTATGGTAACCCAGGGTAGAAAGCCTATCATCAATAGAACCAGCCTAATSTACATTTATATTTTATCAATTACATTTCTATATGCTTCAATCTGAAGATGACCATGCCACCATGGTTGAAAGGTGGCTTAATTATATTTTATCAATTACATTTCTAGCTCTCACGTACGACAAATATTAAAGAGGGAAAAGTTCTCTAAAACAGAAACAATTTCTTGAGACCGTTCAAGAAAGGTGGCTCAATTATATTTCACCATTCTGATCTGGAGAACAGTGTTATCACCCATTCACAATTTCTGAAGTTATTCCTGGTTGGCTTGGCAGTGCTTAGGGTTGAAATTAGAAAAAGAATCCAAGAACCTCTCTAAGAACCAATAACAGGCCCCAAGGAATTAATCACAAACCAAGCTGGAAGCAGGTTTCAAAGCCCTCAGATCTTTTTTTCTCCGATCTGTAATCAATAGGATTTCATTTCATTATAGAAGGAGAAATTACAGTACGGATTTAAGATCACTTTTTAAAGACATATGAGAGACATAGCTTATTAAAAGTTACAAATTTAACCCAAGCCCCCAAAATTGATCCCTATATACCCCTTATTTTGCCAAAGTATCAGCCATCCCATTTGCTGTTCCTGAACCCACTTGAAACTTGCCTCAAGATCCTTTACTAAGCAACACCTGGACTGCTTGTCGTCCATCCAGGAAATTGCTAATTTGGATCCCCTTCTATCTCCAGGTTCTTGAACCCCCGCTGCTTTGCTAGTTTCAGACTTTGAAGTAAAGCTGTTATTTCTGCTCTTGCCGAGTTCCTTACTCCTATTGGCCCTGAAAATAGGGTTACCACTTTCCCTGCATCATCCCTGAACACTCCAATGTCTGACAGCCCGGGATTTCCTAGAGAGCTTCCGTCAAAGTCTAACTTTAGTCCATTTGGTTGAGGAGGCTTCCAGTCCAAGACTACTTTCTTTCATAGTGGCTGAATTTGCTACTTCATATGAAGCTCTGATAACATCATCCACTGCCATCAATTTGAAGGCTTCCATCAAAGGCCTCATATTGGATATACCCAATTCAGCAGCTTGAATGGTAAAGAAATCTGAATAATATCTAGAATGAAATACTAAAAGGTCATGATATCTTTGAAAGATAATAGAAATCAAACATGACAGCACAAGAAGGTGGTGGGGAATTCAGCTTTCAAGGACCTTTTCCCCTCTCTTTACTCAATCTCTTTGTTCAAAAAGAAGGTGGTGTCTCAGTTCCCCCCTTCTCCTGTCCTCCATCTATCTCTTTTTGCCTTTTGGTTCAGGCCGGTTCCCCTAAAATTATGGCATTTTGTTGGGAGGTGTTTCTTGGGAAAATCAATACCTTGGACTGTTTGCAAAAGAAAGGGCCTTCCATGTTTTTGTCTCCTAACTGGTGCAATCTTTGCAAAACAGACAGTGAGGACTGTTTTCATTTATTAATATCCTGCTCTTTTGCTCGAGCTATTTGGAATTGGATTTTTGCTTTGTTTGGGTCCAGGTGGACCTCACCTATAGATGTTTGTTCATTGTTTGAACTCTCCTTTGTGTGGCTCATTAAAAGAGGGTGGAACATGTGGAAATGCATTAGAGCATCTTCTCTCTGGACAATTTGGGAAGAGAGGAATGCAAGAATCTTTCAAGAAAATGGAAGAAGCATCCTTATTGTCAAGGACTGCATTCTGACAAACAATTTTTTGGTTGAAAACTATGGATTCCTTCCAATCCTTTTCCTTTGATGACCTTTGGGGGAACTGGTCAGTTGTAGCAACTTGCTCTTCCAGGAAAGATAGGGTAATTGCAGATAGGATTCCTCCTCCTGAAGGATGTGTAAAGATGGATTTTGATGGAAGTAGTCAGGGTAACCCAGGACCTTCTGGAATAGGAGGGGTCTTGAGAGATAAGGATGGTAACATCTTAGCCTTATTTTCTGGTCCAGTGGGTTTGGGTACTCTAATAGGGCTGAACTGCTAGCAGCCTTACAAGGTATTTAAACTGCACATCAACTTGGTGTGGAGAACCTAATACTTGAAGGAGATTCTAAAGTTGTTGTGGGGTGGCTGACTGGTTCAAATTCAGTGGTTTGGTGCTACAGGGACCTGATAAAGAAAGCTAAGTGGTTAACTAGAAATATGAATATCAGCCTACACTGGGTGGGAAGGTCGGCTAATGTGTTAGCTGATTGTCTTGCCAAACATGGGGTCAATAGGGAAAGTTTGTACTGGGCTGTTTTGTAATTTAAGGAGAGGTTGCACCTTGTGACTCTCCTTGGGATGCCTGTACTATCTATCATTTGATTAATAAAATCACAATTCAATTATCAAAAAAAAAAAATGACAGCACAAACTTCCCTACGTAGCAAGAAGAGGAGACCTCATCAGATCCAATCAAATCAAAAACACAAATAGGTAGCTGACATCACTTAGGATCGTTGGATCCACCAACAGCTTTGACAAGAACTCTAGTAACATAAATCTGAAGAGGGTAATAATATGGAGACTTGGAAAACATTGTGATCTGAGTGGTCCAGTGGGTAAAAACATTGCCACTCTTTGCTCCTTTTTCATTAGAGGACATCATGAGGGGTTGGAACCACAGTTGAAAATTGAGCAAACTAACTCTATTTTGTTAAATTCTTTGAACTCATGTTCATTATCATGCTCCATCATTCTTATGCTGCCAAAAGTATTATTGAAAGAAATTTTGAAGATGGAAGTGTGTTAAGGAGGAACAAAAGAAACTTAAAAGGCATAGATTTTAATTAATACTTCTAATAAAAGTAACAAGTTCTTATAGATATGCATGTTGTGGATTTTTTTATGCAGATTTCATGGATGGAGAAGTTTGTCCAGAAGGGGACTGAAATTATTGCTCCAGTGCCAATGGCACCACCTGGAACTACTGGGCTTGGAGGCTTTGAAGTACCTTCTTCCAAGGGAGATACTCTCCGCTCTGATGCAAGTGCTGCTTTAAATGTTGGTGTGCTTCATCTTGTGCCCACATTGGAGGTTTTTCCATTATTAATGGACCCAAAGACGTAAGTGTTCTATTTTGTGGCACTTACTGTATTATTTGAATTAGGATTTACAACCCCTTTTCTATAGAACAGGTATAGTTTATATAATACTATTTTGTCATATAAAATTGCGAAAAGAGGTGTATAACTTTTGGGTTTCCCAAGTTGAAAAATAAAAAACCTGGTTTTGTCATGGACCATGCTTGATATAGTCATTATATAGGTTTCACTTCTTGATTTCTATTTCTAATGTCCCATTACTTGTCTTAATTGTTTCATTTTCCAGAGTGATTAGGCTTTTTTTTTTTTTAATTCTTCACCCTAACCTTAATTGTGCTTGAGTTCATGACCCCCATTTATTTTTTCCTATACTATTTTATTAAGTAGAATCTATTTGCATACTTTATTTTTTAACCAGACAAGGACAAGAAAGAAAGACAGTAGGGAAGTCTTAACAGGGTTTAACTTCATTTGTGCGTCATTTTCTTCTTACTGCAAGTTTTAAGACTGGAATCTGAATAGAGCAATATTTACAAGTGAAGGAGCAAATCTTTCATGCATTTAAGATCCTTCCTCTCTTCTGAAATGAATTTCATTCTCCTTAGAAAATGCCAATTTTCTAGCTAAGTGAGGAATGGGTAGACCTTTATTTTCCATGATAAACCTTTTTTGCAATTTGGGTTCTTAGAACATATTATTACCCTCTTTTTTTTCTGAGAAAGGTATGTATAAGTTGTATTGCTGTAAATAATGAACAGTTCTATCAACATAAAACTAAGAGAACTAATAAAGGGAAAAGTTCCTTATGATTTTCCTTTTTATCCCATATAGATATCGAGAGAAAATTTACATTTAGTGAATTAGTCATTAAGTCAAAACAAAAAGTAATAATAATCACAGATTTCAATCCAATCAACCTATGATGATAACCAGTTATGGCAAGGACACAACTGGAAAGGTGTTAAACAAGGAAGTATCCAATGCAATGCAGCACCCATGTAAGGTATTCTGAAATTGTAGCAATGAATGGGTGCAGAAAGTTCTGAAAAAAAAAAGTTACCTTAAACATCTGTTAGAGAAATGTTAATGAGAAACAGACCTTGAAAGGATCTCCAAAACCTTAACATATGGTAATGGATGAGGTTGCAATCTAGAGAATGGATTAGTAAAAAAAGAATTTCTAATTATTTATTTGTTTATTATATTTTTACACTTTTGAGTTCCAGTAATATGAAGGGAGAACCTTATAAAACATGTCTTTTGTGTAATGTGAACCTCAAAGCATGAAGTGTGCTACATGTGTGCATCATACTTGAAGGCATGATTTTTTTAGGTGATTTTCCCCTTGTGCTGTATGCTCTCATTTTTTCTTATGCTTGAATTTGCAAGGGCTCTGCTCCTGTTGAATTACATTGGATTTGATCTTTTTGTAACCTAAATAAAAATTGGATGCTCCTAAAGCTATAGACTTCTATGCAGGTATGAGCCTAACACTATTGATCTCTCAGATCACAATGAACTTGAGTAAGTTGAAAGAAAGCCAACTATTTACTAAAGTGCTTGTAGTAATTTAGCACCATGATGATTAAAGTGCAATTGGGATTGTTCTTTAGCTCACTTGGGAACTATATTTTCCTGTAGGTATTGGTTTACTGTGTTATCAGAACATCTTCCTGACCTTGTTGATAAGGTAGACATTCTTTTCTTTGTCGTAATACCCTAGGATGTTTCTTTATGAGCTGATATAGTGAACATCTTGTTCTTATCAAGGTGTGGAGGTAATGTGCATGATTGTATCTGCTCCAAATGTATGGTTGTGTAAAGTATTCAAACACTAAATGCAGCTGTGACGTATAAGGCGGATTATCTTGGTGCAAATGATTAAAGTATTCATATGAATCCATGTTTATCCCGCAATGTTTGCCAGTCTTATGCTTTTACCAATGTGCATATACTTCTCCCTGTCCTAATCCTGTTGGAAATATTTCCAAGAGCCAGACTTTAGAAAATAACTGCCTTTGACTTTTTCTAGTCATATTTTCTCATATAACACTAGCACAACTGCAGTTTTTTTCTTATAGGTCTTCTACTTTATAGTCCTTTGAAGTTTAGAAATAAGATGGTTCCTGGAATTCTAACTTTAGTGTGTTATTTGATAGGCAGTTGCCAGTGAAGGTGGAACAGATGATGCAAAAAGAAGGGGTGATGCTTTTGCTCGTGCATTCTCTGCCCATTTGCGAAGGTCACAGTCCTTTTTATATGATTCCTCATGCACAATATGGATTGAATGTTGTGGTATTCTTGTTTGTCTTTTTACCTTTTGTTTTTATAGTAAATAAAATAAAATTTATTAAAAAGGAAAAAGATAGGATATATTATCAAGTGATAAGATATCGCCAAGACAGAAAATCTCAACATAAGCATGAAAAAACAAAGCACCAGTCCAACAAAACTCAAACCCCTACAAAAACTTGTTGAAAAGTCTGACTTATGGAGAAACTGGGAAGGTGTTGCAAGAAGCTCTTCTAGAAAGGAAAGAATAAATGTTGCATGGCTACTCCCACATCAAGACTCGGTGAAACTGAATTTTGATGGGAGTAGCAGGGGGAATCCAGGACCTGCCGGTATAGGAGGGGTTGTGAGAGACATGGAAGGAAAATTAATAGCCTTGTTTTCTGGTCCACTGGGGATTGGGGACTCTCTCAAGGTAGAATTGCATGTAGCCTTACAAGGTATACAAATTGCAAATGAGCTGAATATAACCAATTTGGTGATTGAAGGGGACTCAAAATTGGTGGTGGGTTGGTCAAAGGATCCAGATCTGTGACTTGGTGCTACAGGGATGAGTTAAAAAAGTTTTTATGGATCTCCAAGAACATGAATTTGAGGATACAATGGGTGAGGAGATCTGCAAATGGGTTAGCTGATACTCTAGCCAAGCAAGGGGTGAATAGACAATCTTTGTTTTGGGCTCACTTGTAATTTTTCTGTTTTGTTTATAGAGGTGTCGCATCTTGTGCCTCTCTAAGGAATGCTTGTAACGATCATATTTTCAGAATTAATGAAATCTAACTTCATTTATCAAAAAAAAAAATGTTGAAAAATCAGACTCCAACACGACCAAACATAATGAAAGCATCCCAAAAGTCAAGAATTTCCAAGAAATAAAACGTCCAACTACATCCCTCTTCAAGTCAAACACCAGAAACCACCAATACATAGTCCACAACTCCCAAAAAAATCTAAATAATGGTCACTTAGTTCATTTTAAAGTTTTTTATTGGTTGAAAGATGACCTTTTAGGAGGTGGTCCTTGTAGTAAGTTCAAGAGCGTCTATAAGAGGAAGGGGTGAAAGTCAAAAATAGAAATCAGAGCTCTGTTGGAAGAAGTAGTTCTTTGGATATGTCCATGAGAATGGGAGGCAAAGGAGGAAGAGGAAATTGAGGAGGTGACTAATGATCAAGTGAGAAAAATAGAAAGAAATTTGGATATGGAAAGATAGAGGAAACTGAAGTACTAGTTAGCAAAATGTTAGGGCTATTTTTTATGGAAGGGGAAGAATTTGCAAGAAAAATACGGTTTGGGTTAGGGGTGTTATCGAGCCGAGTTGAGTTTTGGGTGGCTCGAGCTTGATCTCGACTCGAAAACTTGGAGCTCAAAACTTGATTCAAGCTCGATCGAATTTTGAGTTTCATACTTGAACTCAACTTGAGTCAATACACGCGAGCTACTTGAGCTCGGACTTGGCTTGACTAACAACTAGGTTCAAGTTGATAGTCTTCAAGCTGAGTTCGAGTATTTAGCAAGCTGAGCCCGACTAGCTCCCAAGGTGGCTTGGCTCCCTTTACGCCCTTAGTTTGGGTGTGGATTGTTCTAATGCAAAGGTTTGATTTGAAGATGGTTGCTGTGTGGGTTGTCTTAGGGGCCTGTGTGATGGGGGAGAATTTTGGGTCTCTTGTGATGATGTTGGATCTTGGCAGTGAGAATTTTTGTTTGTTTGGTTATGGTCTAGGAGGGGGAACTTGTGTTCTAACGGTTTTAGGATGGTGCGGGTGAGTGGGATATGAGTTTTTCTTTCTTGTGGGTGATATTGTATCACCTTTTTTTTGTAATCTCCTATTATTTCTGATGTAATATTAAGTAGTTATGTGCCGCAAGGGGCGCTTTTGTCTTTTCTCCTTATTCTTTTATGTTTGGCTACCCTAGACTATAAAGATAAAGCTGGTGCCGCCAGCCAATACTTTTTGCCTCTCTAATCTTTTCTCTTCTTCTTCTCTTCTCCCTCCTCTTCTCTGAAACCATGGTATCATAGCAGGATAGGGCTATGTAGATCTTTTTTTTTTTTCTTTTGATCAAAGCCCTCTCTCTACTTCATTGGACTGAGAATGGAAGAAACCAGTTTGACCTAGCCCTGAGATCACTTCATCTGTATTTTCTCCTTCCACAACTTGATCAGAACTCAGTAAAACTGATTCATGGAATCAGCAGATGATTTATTGAAACACGTCTAAGAGGTCGGTGATTATTTTTTCCTATTTTTCTTATTATTCTTGGATTGGAACCTCCAAAAATCTACTTGGACTGAACAAGTGCAAGAGCTAAGCCCTCTTTTTCTTTGGTTCTTGGTCTGGTTACCAGGCACAGGTAGTGGTCTGCCTTGACTGAATGGTATAAGGGGAGTTTGACCCCTTCTTGTGGATCTGAAGATCCAGAACTGTTTAAATGTGGAACTTCTGTAGGTCATGAGTGACCTGGTTCAGTTTGCAGAAGTACTGCAGCAGCCCTATTGATGTGTTTTGTGGCTCGTAGTAGCCTTGGAGAGGTCTGGTACACCTGCGAATGTGTGCAACAGCAGGTGCTGTATTTTTTGGAAGTGTTTTTGATACATAAAGTTCCCTAGGAAGTGAGGGATGCTTTTTTTTTTTTTTATGAACAGAAAGTGAGGGATTGTTATCTATATGTGGACTGTAAGAACAGAATTGCTGTTCTCTTAGAAGTGATTGCTTATGGATTATAAAGACTCTGCAACTTTAGGAACCACCTCTAATCAAGGTGGTTTGAACAGTGGCCATGATACATTAAGCATTCCAATGACTATTACTCCCTTGGATGGCAGAAATTACTTGGCTTGGTCCAAGGAGATGCGACTGTATATTACAACTAGGGGTAAGGCAGGATATATCAATGGGAAAGTAAAGGAACCTAGGGCCGGTACTTCTGAATATGATAAGTGGGACTCAGAATTGCATGATTATGTCATGGATTTTGACATCCATGTTACCCTCCATTAAGCAGAACTTTATGTGGGCTGAGATAGTTAAAGAAATATGGGAACAAGCAAAGGCAACATATTTGGAACAAAGACATAATGCTAGAATCTATCAACTTCAAGCAGAATYCTCAACATGTAAACAAGGGGAAAGGAGTTTATTAGCTTATTATTCTGTCCTCACTTCAGTCTGGAAAGAGTTTGATTACTACCAAAGTATTGAGTGGGAAAGTGAGAAAGATGCCACAGCCTATAAACAATTGGTCTCTCTCAACAATGTGTCTTTGCTTTTCTATTGGGACGCAATCCCATGTAAACAGGGGGAAAGGAGTTTATTAGCTTATTATTCTGTCCTCACTTCAGTCTGGAAAGAATTTGATTACTGCCAAAATATTGAGTGTGAAAGTGAGAAAGATGCCAAAACCTATAAATAATTGGTCTCTCAACAATGTGTCTTTGCTTTTTTATTGGGGCTCAATCCCATGTATGAACCCATTCGAGTATAGATTTTGGGCAGCAAGGACCTTCCTTCTGTCCAAGAGGTGTATGCCCTAGTTCAATCTGAGGAAAGTAGGGGTTGACTATTAATGTTCTTGAGGGGGAGACTATTGCTTTAGCAGTGAGAAATAGCACAAGTTAAACAAGAAAGGGGGAAGGCCAGAAAAGAGTGGATGATAAAGATAAATTGTGGTGCAGTCATTGTCAGAAATTCAGGCACACCCGTGAGACTTGTTGGGAGTTGATTGGGAAACCAAAGTGGGCACAGGAACTAAGCAAGAAATCATCATAGGGACAAACCAACAGAGTAAGAACCAAATCAGAAGAAATTCACCTTAGCAAACTTAGCATCTAATGAGCCTCAGAATGGCCTTTCTACCGTGAATTCTACTTAGGATTTCCTCCCTAGTTCTGATCTCAAGGAGGATATTATCAACTCCTTCTGTGACCATTTGGAATAGTATGGTAGGACTCTCTGTCAGGTAGATGCTGGATCTACACCTTCGACTTTTGCTTCCTCCTCAGGTAACTTAGCCTTTGCTCTCCATGTATTTATTGACACTCCAGAATCCCCATGGGCTATTGATTTTGGTGCTTTAACCATATGATTGGTAAGTCGTCCCTTTTCCAATCATACACTCTTCTCTCTGACAGAAATAAAGTGAGGTTGGATAATGGATCCTTCTCCTTGATTGTTGGTCGAGGATCTATATCTTTTCTATTTGGTCCCCCACTATTAAATGTCTTACATGTCCCAAAGTTGCCTATTAATTTGTTATTCATTAGTAGTATTACTTATACCTTGAACTATTCAGTGACTTTTTCTCCACATTCTTGTAATTTTCAAGATTTGACCTTCAGGAGGAGGATTGGTAGAGGAAACATGGTTTATGTCTCTATGTGCTGGAGAATAAAGTTGGTCTTGCAGTCTCAGTTTTTGAGTCAGTCGAGTAAGAAACAAGTTATTTTGTAGCACCATCGTTTAGGCCATTTGTCTTTCGAGTCCTTGAAATACTTGTTTTCAGAATTGTTTGTCTGTGCCAGTCAGTTATTTTCAGTTGCCAAGTATATTAGTTGAGTAAGCATTGTAGAACTTCATTTCCTTTACGTAATAAAAGATTAGGTTTTCCTTTTTATCTTGTGTATTTTGATGTGTGGTTAGACTTCCATACTTATCTATGACTAGGCTAGATATTGCATATACAGTAGGAGTCTTTGAAGGGATGAGAGATCCATCATATGGATGACCGAACCCTGCAGGAAAGTTGGGCGAAATTTCAAAAATTTCTCTTTCCCATGTGGGAATCACATTCCCTATTTTGGAAAATTGCATTTTCAATGATCAATCTTGAACCCAAACCAGACCAAATCTGAAACCAAAAAGGGAGTGGAGGGATATGCCTGATACAAAGTAGTAATAACCTCCAATGAAGGTGTTCACGCCCAAGGAAAGATCCAAAGACTGCTTCCACCG